ATACATTTTGTGATAAATAAAAATAAAAACTAATTTTTTAATAATTTTTTGTGGTTGGGAAAGGTCACTAGAATTGTTCGAAATACATGTCCTCAAGGAAATCTTTTCGCTCTCCCATTGTAGACACACTCTGATCTGATCCTTTAAAAATATGTTCTTTTTTTGACCAAAGCATATTGCTGGTCCTCAGGATTTTTTAAAGAAAACCATGACTATAGGTGGTCCTTAAGAAATTTCTATAGAAATCACACCCTTTACTATTATTGTAGAAAATATTTTTTAAAAGTCCACGCCATTTGATAGTCCTTTAGAAAATATTTTTTAACACACGCCCTTTACTAGTCTTCTAAAGAAAATATGTTTTTAAAGTCCTTTGGAAAAAATATTAGTCATTTGGAAAAAAATATTTTTTTAAATAAATCCAATTCCTTAGCTGGTCTTTAAAAAAATCATTTAAAAAATCCCGATTTTAAAGGTTAAAAATTGACTAATTTCTTAATAGTTTTTTTTTTTTTTTTTTTTTTTTGTAGGTATTTAAACTACTTTCGGAAAGGTCAAGAGAATATTTTTTTTTCAAAATCTACACCCTTAGCTAGTGCTTCAGCAATTTTTTTTTTTTTTTTTTAATTCCAATTACCTAGCATTTCCTTTGAAAAAAAATTTATTTAATATCCCCGATTTTAAAGGTTAAAATTGACTCATTTCTAAAGATTTTTTTTTGTGGTAGTTATTGAAACTCCTTTGGGAAACGTCGCTAGAATTTGTCGAAATGCATGTTCTTTAGCAAATATTTTCGCTCTCTCATTGCTGATGTACTGATCATTACTGATCCTTTAAAAATATTTTTTTAAGCCAAAGCCTATTGCTCGTCCTTTAGAAAATATATATATATTTTTTAAAACCACAAACTTTGCTATTCCATTAGAAAAAATATTTATTTTTTAAAAAATAGAGGTTCATTGTCCTTAAGATTTTTTTTTTAAATCGAAATTCCTAGCGGATCCTTTGAAAAAAAAAAAAACATTAAAAATAGGTTCACAATTGTCGATATTATCCTGGAAAGGCCTTAAAATTCCATGATTGAGGTGCCTTAAACATTTTTCTAAAATATCCCCAGTATTCGCTGCGAATAATCCTCAAAAAATTCTGATATTCGCTTCGAGAGTGTTTAAAAATATTTTTTAGATCATCCTTGAGAAAGTTTTTAGAAAAAAAAAAACACAATTTTTTCCCAAAAAAAAAAATATTTATTCATTTATTCCTTGAATTTTTTTAGAAGCTGCCTTATTTTTTCTCAAAAAGTATATAAAAAAATATTTTTTATATTTTTTCTCAAAAAAAAAGAATTATGTATTTTTATATTCAAAAAATATATAAAAAAAAATATTTTATTCAAAAATTTACGAGGATAGGTTTGAAAGTCCATTAAAAATTATAGTTATAAAATTCATTACAAAATCCATAAAAAACAAAGATTATTAATCTTTTGATTATTTAAAAAAATGTATCTTTCTATTCTAAAAAATCTTATCTAAGTTCTGCAAGTCCTAGAAAAGTTGCAGAAAAAATCCAAAAAATTTGTGGAAATATTCTCTAAAACCTCCACAATTTAAGTTGTGGACGTCCTTTAAAGCATATATTTTAGAAACTACATTATTTTTGATCAAAAAATTAAAAAATCAAAAATTAACAAATTTACGAGTGTAGGTTTAAAAGTCCTTGAAAAATTATCTTTAAAAATCCAGGATTATTATTATTATTATTTTTTTGGATCCTTGGAAGAAATATTTAACAAATGCTGGTTTATTTGTCTTTTGATCTTAAAAAATATATCAAAAAAAAATCTAAAATTATTTATATTTTTATCATTCCAAAAAAATCATGGATAATTGATATTTCGATTCTAAAAAAATCTGATTTCATCTCTGCAAGTCCTAGAAAAGTTTCAACACAATTTTAGCGTCGAGGTCCTTGAAAAAATATTTTTAGAAACCCAATTATTTTCGCTCAAAAAATATTTGAAAAAAAAAATTTAAAAAAAATTTCTTAAAGTCCTTGAAAATCATTAAAAAAAACAGGATTATAAATCTTTGGATCCTTGGAAAAAAGTATTTTACAAATTTTGGATTATTTGTCTTCCAGACAAATATCTGATTTCAAGTCTCTGCAAGTCATAGAAAAAATCTTTCCAAAAAAAAAAAAAAAAAAATAAAATAAAAATCTTTGTTTTTGTTTCTCTTTGAAAATATTCTCTAAAAACTCAACACAATTTTAGGTGTGAAGGTCCTTGAAAAACCACATTATTAAAAATGAAAAAAACTACATTATTTTCGCTTTCTCTGCTCTGCAAGTCCTAGAAAAGTTGCAGAACAAATCCACAAATTTCTCCAGAAAAAAATTCATTGAAAATATCCATTAACAACTCCACGATTTTAGTTGTGAAGGTCCTGGAATAAATATTTTTTAGAAACTACATCATTTTTGCTCATAATTATTTGAAAAAAAAAAGGTTTAAAAGTCCTTGAAAAATTATCCTTGAAAAATCCAGAAATATTTATATTTGGATAAATATTTAACAAATTCTTGATTATTAATCTTTCGATCCTGAGAAAGAATATCCTTAAAAATTTATGATTATTTTTCTTTGGACACTTAAAAATGTTTCTTAGATCCTCAAATAAATCCCTTAAAAATTCAACAATTTTTTTTGGAAAATTTCAGAATTTCTTTAGATCTTTTAAAATATTCTTAATGAATATGGATTATTTGGTTTTTTATTTTATTTATTTATTTATTATTTTTTTTTTTTTTTTTTTTGATAAAAAAAAATAATTCTTAACAAATCCAGGTTTATTGATCCTGAATATTTAAAAAAAAAATCCACATCTTAAGGCGCTGTTAGTTTTTGGAAAAATATTCTTTAATAATCTAAAGGATCTAAAGGTCCTTAAAAAATATTCTATTCCTTAAACAAATATTATAAAAAAATCAAAACTATTTATTTATTTTTAAATACACGTTATTTTTAAATACATGTTTGAAAAACAGTATTAAACAAAAAAACATTTTTTAGGCTCAATATTCACTAAAAAATTCGCATTGTAAAATTCCTTTGGTTCTTGATATAAAAATCTTAAAAAAAAAATCCAACTTTAAATTCCTATTGGTCCTTGAAAAGTCCACTTTAACAACTTTAAAAATTTTAAAAACTTCCAAATTAAAATATTTTTTGGTCCGAGTATCCCTAAATTTTCCTATTCCTATGTTGGTCCGTGAAATTTAATTTTTTAAAAATAAATTTTAGAATACCTTTTGGGTCTTTGAAAAAGTTTTCGTTAAAAAATACTTAGTTTAAGGCTCCGAAAAAAAAAAAAATTTCAAAAAAAATTTAGAAATCTCGTTTTAAGGCTTTTTGGAGCTTGAAAAAAATCCACGTTTAAGGCTCCGATTATGCTGGGAAAACATATTTTTTTAAATACGATCGGACCACATCGTGATATTTATTAAATTTTTTTTATTTTATTTTTTCTTTGATTTTTTTATTTTTATTTTTATATTTATTTATTAATTTATTTTTTTTTTAAATAGACGATTTTTAAAACAAGTTTTTTAATTATATTTTTAATTTAAATTGAATTTATTTTTTTAATTAAATTTATTTTTTTATCAATTTTCTAAAACCTCTTCTCCCATGTCTTTTGTCCTTGTCCCCTCTACCACTCTTCTTTGATGAGATCGGCCGCCTTTTCGCCAATCATAAGGGTGGGCCCATTCGTATTGACACTGGTGAGTAGAGGCATAATGGAGGCATCTACAACACGCAGATTGTCTACGCCCCTAACTTTAAGCCTTGGACTAACAACGGCTTGCTGATCATTTTCTGGTCCCATTTTTGCCGTACCCACCGGATGATAGCAGGTTGTGGACATATATTTCAAATAACATTTCCAATAGTCGGGGGATTTGAATTCCAAACGATTGCATTCCTCCAAAGGCAGTTGGATAATATCGGCATTTTTCCTCTGGAATGGGGTGGTGTTGACAAAATTGGTTATATATTCAAGGCCTTGAATTAAAGTGGCAGAGTCTTCGGGTTCCTCAAAGTAATTGGCATTTATTATGGGAGGATCTAGGTAAGATGAGGATTTTAATTTTATATTTCCCCTAGATTTGGGTTTGGAGAGCAAAATAAAAACCACCATAACATGTTGGTGCTGCTGGACTCCCAACAAATAACGCCTTAGATCGTCTCTGATACTCTGACCCACCAGGAAGGTATTTAGGGTGCCCACATCACCTATCCTGGCAATGGCGTGGATGATTTGTATATCTGGAATGGCATTGTCATCAGAAGAGCTGCTGTTTAGTTTTACAAAGCCATTAATGCTCATCACGCCAATGGTACTCAGGGGTCCTTGTTTGTGCACCAGATATTGGTACATGGAATCGGTGAGGAAATTTCGATCCACCGGCTCACCATCTAGTTTGATGAATACACATGCCACTGCATGATCTTGGAGATTTTCGCCCACATTCAAATCTTGGATCAAGGGAATATTTAGGGGCCTCAAGACATCTTGGGGTCCAATGCCGGAGAGCATAAGAAGCTTGGGGGTATCAATGGACCCGGCAGATAATATGGCCTCCTTAGCCACCCTGGCTGACATTTTCATGTTGTCCTGCAGAACAAAATCCACTGAGGTAACTCTCCTACCGTGTGGATCAAAGTTGATTTTCGAAACCTGGGCATTTTTTATGACCCTCAAATTGGGTCTTTGCGAGGCAACTCGACCCAAATGCCCCTTGCCTGAGGTGGTACGTTGACCATTCTTCACAAAACCCCACATCCTGGAATATCCCAGCACATGATCGTGGCTAAATCGTTTGAGTATCTCTTGACCCATTTCCTGGGCTCCCTGGTAGATCAATTGCAAAATATCTTCATCATACATTCGGAATTCACCAACATCCACATAGCCTAGAGGAAAGTCGTCACTGCCTTGAGGCCTAACGGATTTTTTGAAATAAGGCCAGACATCCTCGAAACCCCATCCCGTATTGCCCAATTCCAACCAGCTATTGTAGTCCCAGCGATTGCCTCGAATATACATTAGGGCATTTATTGCCCCCGAACCGCCAATCATTTTGCCTCGCGGCCAATAGCAGCGCTCATTTTTATAGCCCTTACAGGCTCGCTCATTGGGTTCCACAAAGTAATTAAACGTATAATTGCTGTGCTGGAGACTGGGGAAAATATTTGGGACCTGGTAAAAAAAATAATATTTATCATCGAAAAATTAACCCTTCCTTTTCCATTACCTTACCTCTGACTCCTGTGGCGGATCTCCACCTGCCTCCAATACCAATATCCTCCAATTGGGTTTCTCACTTAAACGACTGGCCAACACCGATCCCGCCGTCCCAGCTCCAATTACCACAAAATCATAGCTCTCCACACTTCTCTGCTTGACAACTTCTTGAGCATAGTCTGGCGGATAGTTCTGCTCATTTTCCAAACCACATTGCCTTGTCAAAATGGATTCCACCAATATCGAAAGCAAAGTATTTACCGCTCCCACACTATTTATGGAACATTGATTGCCAAACGGAGTTAGAATTCCCGTTGTCATCTCAACACTTCGATATTTGACAATTAACTGAAATTCTTTCTATTGGCAATTAGGCTTAACACTTCTAGCTATTTTTCGGATGTTTGTCCAGGTGTTCCGAAAGCTTAATTAGTTAATTTATTTGTTTAAAGAGAAAAAAAAAAACAAATTTGAAAAAATATTTGCCATAATTATTTTGAGGGGCCGTGCCTCTATTTTAAATCCAAATGATTCTAATAAAAAAACTCAGTATCTGAGAACAACCTCAAACCTCCGATTTTTTCGGAGTAAGAATACGGCAAAACAGCACCAACGATTTTTTAAAAAATCCACGTTTATGGAAATCCTTGAAAATTATTTTTTAAAAAATCCACGTTTATGGAAATCCTTGAAAATTATTTTTTAAAAAATCCACGTATATGGAAATCCTTGAAAATTATTTTTCAAAAAATCCACGTTAATGGAAATCCTTGAAAATTATTTTTAAAAAGAAATCCACGTTTATCCTCGAAAATTATTTTTTAAAAAATCCACGTCTATTGGAATCCTTGAAAATTATTTTTTAAAAAATCCACGTCTATGGGAATCCTTGAAAATTATTTTTTTAAAAAATCCACGTTTATGGAAATCCTTGAAAATTATTTTTAAAAAGAAATCCACGTTTATGGAAATCCTTGAAAATTATTTTTAAAAAGAAATCCACGTTTATGGAATTCCTTGAAAATTATTTTTTAAAAAATCCACGTTTATGGAAATCCTTGAAAAATGTTTTTTAAAAAATCCACGTTTATGGAAATCTTTGAAATTTATTTTTTAAAAAATCCACGTTTATAGAAATCTTTGAAAATTATTTTTTAAAAAAATCCACGTTCATGGAAATCCTTGAAAATTATTTTTTAAAAAAATCCACGTTCATGGAAATCCTTGAAAATTATTTTTTAAAAATTCCACGTTTATGGAAATCCTTGAAAATTATTTTTTAAAAAATCCACGTTTATGGAAATCCTTGAAAATTATTTTTTAAAAATTCCACGTTTATGGAAATCCTTGAAAATTATTTTTTAAAAATTCCACGTTTATGGAAATCCTTGAAAATTATTTTTTAAAAAATCCACGTTTATGGAAATCCTTGAAAATTATTTTTTAAAAAATCCACGTTTATGGAAATCCTTGAAAATTATTTTTTAAAAAAATCCACGTTCATGGAAATCCTTGAAAATTATTTTTTAAAAAATCCACGTTTATGGAAATCCTTGAAAATTATTTTTTAAAAAATCCACGTTTATGGAAATCCTTGAAAATTATTTTTTAAAAAAATCCACGTTCATGGAAATCCTTGAAAATTATTTTTTAAAAAATCCACGTTTATCGAAATCCTTGAAAATTATTTTTTAAAAAATCCGCGTTTATGGAAATCCTTGAAAATTATTTTTTAAAAAAAATCCACGTTTATGGAAGTCCTTGAAAATTATTTTTTAAAAAAAATCCACGTTAATGGAAATCCTTGAAAATTATTTTTTGAAAAAATCCACGTTTATGGAAATCCTTGAAAATTATTTTTTAAAAAATCCACGTTTATGGAAATCCTTGAAAATTATTTTTTAAAAAATCCACGTTTATGGAAATCCTTGAAAATTATTTTTTAAAAAAATCCACGTACATGGAAATCCTTGAAAATTATTTTTTAAAAAATCCACGTTTATGGAAATCCTTGAAAATTATTTTTCAAAAAATCCACGTTTATGGAAATCCTTGAAAATTATTTTTTAAAAAATCCACGTTTATGGAAATCCTTGAAAATTATTTTTCAAAAAATCCACGTTTATGGAAATCCTTGAAAATTATTTTTTAAAAAATCCACGTTTATGGAAATCCTTGAAAATTATTTTTTAAAAAATCCACGTTTATGGAAATCCTTGAAAATTATTTTTCAAAAAATCCACGTTTATGGAAATCCTTGAAAATTATTTTTTAAAAAATCCACGTTTATGGAAATCCTTGAAAATTATTTTTCAAAAAATCCACGTTTATGGAAATCCTTGAAAATTATGTTTTAAAAAATCCACGTTTATGGAAATCCTTGAAAATTATTTTTCAAAAAATCCACGTTTATGGAAATCCTTGAAAATTATTTTTTAAAAAATCCACGTTTATGGAAATCCTTGAAAATTATTTTTTAAAAAAATCCACGTTTATGGAAATCCTTGAAAATTATTTTTTAAAAAATCCACGTTTATGGAAATCCTTGAAAATTATTTTTCAAAAAATCCACGTTTATGGAAATCCTTGAAAATTATTTTTTAAAAAATCCACGTTTATGGAAATCCTTGAAAATTATTTTTCAAAAAATCCACGTTTATGGAAATCCTTGAAAATTATTTTTTAAAAAATCCACGTTTATGGAAATCCTTGAAAATTATTTTTTAAAAAAATCCACGTTTATGGAAATCCTTGAAAATTATTTTTTAAAAAATCCACGTTTATGGAAATCCTTGAAAATTATTTTTTAAAAAATCCACGTTTATGGAAATCCTTGAAAATTATTTTTTAAAAAAATCCACGTTCATGGAAATCCTTGAAAATTATTTTTTAAAAAATCCACGTTTATGGAAATCCTTGAAAATTATTTTTTAAAAAATCCACGTTTATGGAAATCCTTGAAAATTATTTTTTAAAAAATCCACGTTTATGGAAATCCTTGAAAATTATTTTTCAAAAAATCCACGTTTATGGAAATCCTTGAAAATTATTTTTAAAAAATCCAGGATTCTCTAAAATCCTTGAAAATTATTTTTTAAAAAATCCACGTTTCCTTAAAATCCTTGAAAATTATTTTTTAAAAAATCCACATTTCCTTAAAATCCTTGAAAATTATTTTTTAAAAAATCCACGTTTCCTTAAAATCCTTGAAAATTATTTTTTAAAAAATCCACGTTTCCTTAAAATCCTTGAAAATTATTTTTTAAAAAATCCACGTTTCCTTAAAATCCTTGAAAATTATTTTTTAAAAAATCCACGTTTCCTTAAAATCCTTGAAAATTATTTTTTAAAAAATCCACGTTTATGGAAATCCTTGAAAATTATTTTTAAAAAATCCAGGATTCTCTAAAATCCTTGAAAATTATTTTTTAAAAAATCCACGTTTATGAAATCCTTGAAAATTATTTTTTAAAAAATCCACGTTTATGAAATCCTTGAAAATTATTTTTAAAAAATCCAGGATTCTCTAAAATCCTTGAAAATTATTTTTTAAAAAATCCACGTTTATGGAAATCCTTGAAAATTATTTTTTAAAAAATCCACGTTTCCTTAAAATCCTTGAAAATTATTTTTTAAAAAATCCACGTTTCCTTAAAATCCTTGAAAATTATTTTTTAAAAAATCCACGTTTCCTTAAAATCCTTGAAAATTATTTTTTAAAAAATCCACGTTTCCTTAAAATCCTTGAAAATTATTTTTTAAAAAATCCACGTTTCCTTAAAATCCTTGAAAATTAATTTTTTAAAAAATCCTCGTTTATGGGAATCTTTGAAAATTTATTTTTAAAAAAATCGACGTTTATGGGAATCCTTGAAAATTAGTTTTCAAAAAATCGTTAAATTTATTTAGGACTTCTTTAAAAAACATTAATTTTTTTAAGTGTTTTATTCCTCATCTTCAACGATTCCCTCATCCATGTGATTCTCATAGTCATTTTCCTCATCCAGCTCTTCCGTATCTCCAATGCTATATCTGGCCTCGAGCCAATCTTCCTTGATTAAATCCGCTGCCTTCTCGGCCAGCATGATGGTGGGTCCATTTGTGTTGACCCCTGGTATGGTGGGCATAATGGAGGCATCGACAACCCGCAGATTTTCCACACCCTTTACCCGTAAACGTGGATCCACCACTGAAGATGGATCCTCTGCGGGACCCATTTTCGCCGTACCCACTGGATGGTAACAAGTTGTGGACATATAACTGCTATAGCAACGCCAATACTCTTCACTTTTAAATTCGTGGCGATCACACTCCTCTATGGGTATGTGGACCAGTTCACCCTGACGCTCCTGGAAAACTGTGGTATTTACATAGCTCTCCAAATACTGCATGGCCTTTAACATAACCTCCAGATCTTCTCTCTCGCCGAAATAATTTGCCTCAATTTTGGGAGGCTTGTTGTGAGAACGGGACTGTAGGCTAACGGTGCCACGAGACTTGGGATGTGACACCAAGCTGAGGAATAATAAAGCGGAATTTTCCCTTACCATTTGTAGTAGATAATCACTTATATCCTTCCGCATATTTGTGGAGATGAGAAAAGTTTTCAACATGTTATCGTCACCCTGCCTGAAGGCTCGATGGATAATTTGAACATCCGGATAATTGTTGTGACTCTTTGGCTGGACATCCAGGAAGCCAACCAGGCTCATGCTGTCTATGGTGGCCAGGGAACCATTTTTATAGACCAAATATTGGTACACCATCTCCAGGGGATCCACTGGTTGGGCCTTGGACCCGTTGAACTTGGCAAAGACCACATTGAATATATGATCCTGTAAATTCCGGCCCACCGGTAAATCATGTAATACCGGTATGTGTAAGGGCTGCAGAACTTCTTGGGGACCCAGACCCGATAGCATCAATAACTTTGGGGTATCTATGGATCCGGCAGATAATATGGCCTCCTTGCGTATTTTCACGGTAAGACGCCTTTTTTGTAGTTTATGATTTAACAAAAATGTCAGAGACTTGACCCTTTGACCTCGGCCATCAAAATTAAGTTTAACAACCTGGGCATTTTTGATGACCTGTAAATTTGGCTGCTTAGAGGCTGGGGTCAAATAACCCTTGGCCGTGGTGGTACGACGACCATCCTTAACCGTACCCAGTACACTGGAATATCCTCGATAATTATCCTTGCCAAAATTTTCGAATACTGGCTGGCCCACTTCCTTGGCTGCTGTGTAGACCATTTCAAATGCCTCCTCATTAACATGTTGGACTTCGTTGACCTCTATGTACCCCTGGGAACAATTTTGTGTCGGACTTACCGATTTTTCAAAATATGGCCACACATCATCATAACCCCAACCGGGGTTGCCCATTTCCAACCACACATCATAATCCCTACGATTACCCCGTAAATACATCAGGGCATTAACGGCTCCGGAACCTCCCATCATTTTCGCCCTCGGCCAATAGCATTGTGCATTTTTAAAAGCACGACAGGAACGCCCATTTGGCTCCGTATAATAATCATAAACATAACGGCTATGGGGTATGGCCATGGACATGGCAGGGACCTAAGAGAAAATTACTTAAAATTCCATTTCGTCAACCTGTTAGACCAGCCACCTACCTCCGATTCTTGTGGAGGATTATCACCAGCCTCCAAGACCAGAATTTTCCACTTGCGATTTTCACTTAGGCGACTGGCCACCACGGATCCTGCTGAGCCGGCTCCAACAACCACAAAATCATAGGTATCCAAACCATGCCGCAAGGCCTCCTCAGCATAGTCGCTAGGATAATCTTCCGCTCGAGATATATTGCATTGGGCCGCCAGCAAATATTCCGTCAGCATTGAGACCATGGTATTCATAACTCCCACACTTTGAGAGGTACATTGGTGTTGCGAGGCAAGAGCTGTGGCCATATCCGCTAGCCAAACAAATAATCGAAACAAAAATGTCGGCCTAAATAGCTAAAGGCTTTTTATATATTTTTTCCCTTGCTCTGTTACTTGTATGTTTATGCGGGTTATCACATAATTTGTTTGTAATTAAGTGAATTACCATTTGTCATAATCGAAAACTAATTGGAATATATTAGCATTGAACCAAATAACAAATATCGGTGATCAACGCCCTCTATGGGGGAAAGGGGAAATACTTTACTTAGCAAAGACATTAACATTGAACCAAATAACAATTATGAATAATCAACGCCCTCTATTGGGAAAAGTGGAAGTACTTTACTTAGCAAAGACTCTCGCCGCAGCATGTGAGCAAAAAAAGAGTAGTAGGGCCACAATGGGGAAATTTAAAGTGTATTTTTTCGAGATAAGTTTAAAAGGGTTTATGGAAAAAATCTTCTTCATAAAATCCTAGTATTTTAGATTTAATTTAAAATTTATTTCACAAAAATCCCAGTATTTTATATAAGATAATGTTTGAATTTTTTACACATAACCAAATAACAATTACTGATCTTCCACGCCCTCTATTGGAAAAATGAGAAGTAATTTACTTAGCAAAGACTCTTACCGCAACATGTGGGCAAAAAGAGAGTAGTAGGGCCAAAATGGGGAAAATAAAAAAAATTTTTTCGAGAAGAGTTTTAAAGGGGGTTTCGAACACTCCTTAAAAATCCCAGTATTTTATATAAAGTAATGTTTCTATTTTTTAATATAACCAAATAAAAATTATCAAAGCCCTCTGTTTAGAAAAGGGGAACACTTTACTTAGCAAAGACTCACCGCAGCATGTGGGTAAAGTAATAGGGGCACAATGGGGAAGATAAAATATATTTTTTGTGAGAAAAGTTTTAAGGGTGTTGTGGAAAAAGCATTCCTTTTCAAATCTCAGAACTTTAGTTTTGATTTAAAATGTTTTTCACAAAAATTCCAGAATTTTATTTAAGATATTGTTTGTATTTTTTTAAAATAACCAAATAACAATTCTCACTCATCAACGCCCTCTATTGGGAAAAGGGGAAATACTTAGCAAAGTATCTCACCACTGCATGTGGACCAAAAAAGAGTAGTAGGGCTAGAATGGGGAATTTAATTTTTTTTTTTATTTTTGCGAAAAGCTTTAAAAGGGTTTTGGAGAAATGTTTCCTTAAAAATAAAATATCGGCATGTTAGATTTGATTTAAAAATTATTTCACAAAAATCCCAGTATTTTATATAAAATAATGTTTGCCTTATTTTGGCCCATTCCCGGCCAAGTGCTTGCTTGAGGTGATCGATACTTTGGTATTTTTTAGTGCCAACCTTGGTTTCCAAAATACTCCAGACACAATAGTCCAACAGATTGGTATCCGGAGATTTTGGTGGCCATTGTGCGCTCGAAATGAAGCGAGGAACCTCATTTTGTAACCATTCTTGGGGGGCGCGTGCTGACTCCTGTTGAAATGTCCAAGGTCTGCGGCCAAAATTTTTGCGTGCCCAAGGCTTTAATACACCCTCTAGAATATTTTCGCGATAATATTCGTCATTCATTCTGATGCCACGGTCAATTAATACCAGCGGAGAGTGACTATCGGCTGTTATGGCGGCCCACACCATCACACCATGGCCGGCGCTTGACTTCTGGTGGGTAACCGAAGGTGCACATTTTCAGCTGACCTCTTTGGCAAGTAAACCCGATAATTTTGTTTGTTTACAAACTGCTGGACAACGAATGTTTTCTCTTCGGAGAAAATCAAATTCGGCAGTTCACCACTTTCGGCCAAGCGAAGCAACTCTCTTTAGCTCTTTTGAGTCTATTTCTTTCTCTTTCGGTTGCGGTGTAAGTTCTTGCATTTTTTGGAATTTCAATGGCTTTATCCCGAGCTCATTTTTCAATATTTGCCGAATGGAATAATGCGATATGTTCAGCTCACGAGCCATTTTTCGGCCACTGCGACGTGGGTTTCGATCAAATCGCTTCTTCACTTTTCGAACCATTTCTGCTGATGTTGCTGTTGATGTTCTCCCGCCCACTTTCTTGACGTCGGGCTACGCTACCAGTATCACGGTAACGAGGGATGGTACGAGACACAAAAGATTTATTCACATTTAAATGCCGAATTGCTCTAACGATAGCCACTTTTGGTTTTCCAGGCAAATATAAAGAAATCACACTATCACGCTTGAATTCCGAACACGAATAACTTTTTTTCTGGATCATTCTCGCCAAAATGCTTTTGTACGCTTGTAAACAATATAATGAGCTGTCACTGGGATAATTTTAACAGCTGTTGGAAGAGTGGCTTAGAAATGACAGCAGCCTGAAATTGGTTCACCCTGTATCTAGAGAGCCATTAAATTTCATTTATTGGTAAGTTCAGAGCCATCTATCTCCCATTTTTGTCATGAACTCAGCTAGCTTCCTCTAGATGGCATTGCAGGTTATCTATTTTACAAATAATAGCTTGTTAAAGAACCAGCAATTTGTTCTATGCAAATTTTTGGCAAAATTAAATAGGAAGCTAGGAGTTCCACCCAACCTATAATTAAGTTACCCCACAATTATGTAACACCCTGATAATTTCTTTAATTAAAATAACACCAACAATTGTGATAAAACAATTAAAAATGAAAATCTCCACCCCTATATAAGGCCTCTGTTCGAAACGAAGAGCTCCGAGGCAAGGGTCCTTTTTTATATTTTCAAAGCATTGTCTACTTTTCTCTCGGGAAACAATGCAGTGCTCCCAAAGTGTGGGAGTCATGAATACCATGGTCTCCATGTTGACGGAATATCTACTGGCATCGCAATGTGATTTGGCTCGGCCGGAATTGTATCCACCCGACTATGCTGATGAGGCTTTGCAACATGGCTTGGAGACCTATGATTTTGTGGTGGTGGGGGCAGGCTCTGCCGGATCGGTGGTGGCCAGCCGGCTAAGCGAAAATCCTGAGTGGAAAATTTTGGTTTTAGAGGCCGGCGAAAATCCACCTCAGGAGGGGGAGGTAAGTGGTACACTTTTTGGGAAATAAAAAAAAATATGGAAAATATTTCCCCCAGGTGCCAGCCTTGGCTCCAGCCATAAACCATGATCGCTATGCCTTTGATTATTATGCCGAACCCAATAATCGTTCCTGTCGGGCCTATAAAAATGGCCAATGTTATTGGCCGCGTGGCAAATTGATTGGCGGCAGTGGGGTGCTAAATCTCCTAATGTATTTAAGCGGAAATCGCCGGGACTATGATATATGGCGGGATATGGGCAATACCGGCTGGGGTTATGATGACATATGGCCTTATTTTGAAAAATCGGTGACCCCGCCTGCAAACAATGACACGGGAGGTTATATTGAGATCAATGATTTCGAAGTTATAGATGAGGATTTCTTCCATCTGATCTATGGAGCTGCCGAAGAGTTGGGTAATCCTATATTGGACCACTTTGACATGAACAATTACAAGGGCTATTCCCGGGCATATGGTACAATAAAGGATGGAGTTCGCACCACCACGGCCAAGGGTTATTTGACACCGGCCTCGAAACGTTCAAATTTAAAGGTTATTAAAAATGCATTTGTCACCGAAATCAATTTCGATGCGATGGGTGAGATCTTTGACATTTTTGCTACAACAAAAAAATCAAAAAAGACGTCTCACCGTGAAGGTGCGGCGGGAGGTGATATTGTCCGCAGGCTCCATTGATACACCCAAATTGTTAATGCTTTCGGGTATTGGTCCGCAGGAGGTGTTACAACCTCTACACATTCCGGTAGTACAAAATTTGCCCGTGGGTCGGAATTTACAGGATCATGTCCTGAATTTGTTATTTGCCAAATACAATGGCACCCAAGTCCAGCCAACAGAGGACTTGGATACGGTCTATGAGTATTTGGTATATCGCAATGGTACCTTGGCCACGGAGCAGAGTATGGGCCTCATTGGTTTTATTGATGTCCTGGACAAGCCATATGACAATTATCCTGATGTCCAAATTATCAATAGATTTATAAAGCGGGGAGATGTGGATTCTCTAGACTCCTATCTATCCTACATTGATGTGAGAAGTGACATTCGTGACTATTTACTTCAGGTGGTAAGGGAGAACACCATCGTCCTATTTCTTAGCCTCGTAATTCACCCCAAAACCCGTGGCTCCATTATCCTAAATTCCCGTTCGTATAAAAAACCTCCAAAAATGTATGCAAATTATTTCGCCGAAGATGAAGATCTACAGGTTATGGTTAGGGCCATGAAATATTTGGAGGAATTTGTAAACACCACTGCCTTCCGGGAACGGGGTGGTCAGTTGGTCCACATACCCATTGATGAATGCGATCAGTTTGAATATCAAAGTGAGATGTATTGGCGTTGCTATTCCAGTTATATGTCCCAGACATGCTACCATCCGGTGGGTACGGCAAAAATGGCTCCCACTGAGGATCCATCATCAGTGGTAGATCCTCGTTTACGTGTCAAGGGTGTGGAAAATCTGCGGGTGGCCGATGCCTCCATAATGCCCACCATAATTGGGGTCAATATCAATGGACCCACAATTATGATTGCCGAAAAGGCTTCGGATTTGATTAAAGAGGATTGGCTGCAGAAGGGATACACGATTTACGACCAGGATACAGCGGAGGACGAGGAAACCCGCAATGTCCAAGATTATGTTATGGAAGAGGATGACGATGACAATGAATGAAATGAAAAACTATTCGCTTAAATTTAAAAATAATAGTTAATAAAGCTGCAAATATAGCTCTGGTGGCCTTTTATTTCTTGATATTTATTATTTTTTAACCTTTAAAAAATATAGAAAAAAATATTTTTTTTTTTTTTGAGAAATATATAATAAAAAATAACAACACAATTTAAAAATTATTTTAAATTAAAAATTAAATTAAAAATTATTAAAAAAAAAACTTTAAAAATATTTAAAAAAATGATTTTTTTTTTAAGAAATAATAAAAAAAATAACAATTTAAGAATGATTTTAAAT